TGTTGAATCTGTAACTGCACTAATGACCTTCTTCATACTCTGTTATATTAAAATCTCTTGATCTGTGTTACACTTGGATGTAAATCTTTCAGCATCACTTTTTACTAGCTTGCGTTAGTCATTTGGAAACTATTAGCTCACTGAGTTGTGCTGATCTTACAAATGTTGACATGTTTCACTCTGCAATATCAAAATCGCATTTGTCAATATCATCACAATGTCAGCCTCTAAGGATTGGGATGCTAATAAGCTCACAGTACAAGATGCAATTTTTTCCCCAAAATTCTTGTTTTTGCTTCAAAGCTTGAGTTTTGTCATTGGCAACACATTTCTGCCAGTTATTTTTCTAGAAATGACAGGCTAACTTTGTCCTTTTTTTGAGATGATGTCTGCCAAATATCCAAGTCTGAGTAACCATAGTTCGTCTGTCAATGGTTGTTTTTTTTTTTTTTAAGTGGAAATGATGTTCCATTAAGAAAAGTGGCTAATTCAGCTCATAGCTCAATCATATAAGCACTTTTTCTGGAAGTGACCATTCACACTTCTGCATATAGGAGAAGTACTTCATTTGCCTGTGTATTTCCTATTTTGTTACATAAAATATTCAAAAGATGTGTACTCAGGGTCAAGATTTAATAGCATTGGTAATTTTTACTACCTCAAAATGAACAACCTAAAGTGAAACTGGCATTTTTTTTTTTTAATGCACATAGGTGGCAGTGAAGAATAAGATGACTAAAAAAGTATAGTGAAGATTTTTAAAAAGAGTACAATAGTTTTGTACCACTCTCTTGATTCATGCTATGAGGCACAAACCAAGTTTTACCCATCAACGCTTATGTGCCATTAGTGCAAATACAAATCAGTACAAAAGGCAAATGATTTCTTAATTTTGTTTTGAAAATAGTTTGGCTTCATGGATTTCTAAAAACATCTTAGGTACTCATGGGTGTTCCATGGGTCGTACTTTGAGAACTATTGGCTTAAGTGGCTCAAGAGTCTTTCTAAGTGAATCAGAGGGCAAGGAGGGAAACATCACTGATGGCTGAGGGAGAGGAGGGGAGGACTGGACTTCACAGTCTTCATGGCCAAAATGACCTAATTGAATACTATCATTGTAAAAATGAAGAAATGGAGGCATAGCGGGATTTGCTCCAAGTCACCGTGCTGGACTGTGGTAGAGCCAGGGTTAGCTCCTCGGTCTCCTACTGACACAGCGTCTGTGAGCCTCTGTCAAGTTAGGTCTGTCCTCTAAATTACTAAATTATCTTACAGCTATTTATTGAGTGCCTGTTGTGTGCCAGGCACAGGGGTAGGTAGTCAAGATATTAAATCAAATGACATATTTCCGGTCCTTCAGCTTGGTACTCTAGGAAGCATGCAGATGGGCAAATGAATTCTACACACAGTTAGCATGAAGACAGGTGATACAGAGAGCCACGGGGGCTCAGAGCAGGGACGCCCGGATCGGCGAGTGGCTGAGAATGTCCAGAATCTGACACCGTTGGAAAGGAAGGATCAAGTTGGCCAGATCAGGGAAAACGAGAGCTTTTCCAGTGGAGGAGAGCCTGTGGGAAGGCAGCGGCGACAGGGGCTTGAGCATCTGGTGGAATGGATGTATGGGAGAAATGGCTGGATGTGAGGAGGGGGTGTAAGGGCTGGGTCACAGAGGCTGGATATGTCCATCTAAGAAGTCTGGATTTTATTAAGAAAGCTGTGGGGAGCCAGACAGGCCAGTTGGAGGACAGGTTAGAAAGACAGGCTGATGCTTTCTCTAAATTCCAGATGGTCATGACACCAGGACAAATCTTTTGCTTCTTCGGGCCTCTCTTTCCCCACGCACACCTCGAGTCACACGGTGACAGGCAAGTTTGTTATATGAATTCCCCACCTACCATTAAGAGAGCTGTTGAAGAAATGAGTGCCTGCAGCTTAAACTGATCCCATTCTCTTGGCCTGAGACTTGCTATTCATTTTTCCTGTGGGCTTTATACCTCACACTGGACTCTGAAAAACCATTACATCAGTTTAGTAAGGTTGAACCACGTAAGATGCATCATTTGTAACCTATTGCCTTGCCAGACTGAATCCTAGAAAGTGTTTCTGTGCCGTGGTTTTCAAGCCTGGACAGTCATCTCAGGCAAGTGGTTAAAAAATAAGGATTTTCAGACACTACCTCCTGGGGCTCAGGAATCTGTGTATTTATTTTACTCTGCAAGTTGTTCTGCTATAGGAAGGCTGGCTCTGATTTTCTGCTCTGATATTTTGGGTATCGCTAGTTGGATTAACTAAAGAGGAACACATATTGAATGCCTGACAGTGCCAGTTAGACAGATTCCTCAGTCTCCTGCACATGCACGCATACACGCACCTATGTGGCTGACATTTTTCATGTTACATGACAGGTACTCCCCTTTGTGTGAGCTGGAAACATCCAACTCTTACTTCATTTCCCACATTTGTTGCATTTCCAACTCTTGATCTCTTCAAAATGCTTCCCGATAGTCATTTCTCTCTCTTTCCCCTCTGCCTATGAGAGGCTTTGTCATCTCATTGGAAGATATCAATTGGTTTATTTATTTAAAAAAATTCTTGGTGAACATATTGTTTCACTAAAACAGATTGAATGACTACATATGTAAATGTGCACTGGCTCTGTGGGACATGTTATATGAAGGATTGTGGAGATCAATAAACAAGGCTGAAAATCCCTGTAAAATCATAACAGTCTGGGCACGTCTGGCATCCCAGCAACGTGCAACATATATACAAACCTAAATAAATACTCTATACTAAAATATGATCAGTTCAGCCCACAGGAAAGAACAGGCTGCCAGATCCAGAGATGGGTGAATGGGTGAATGGGTGGTCCCATCAGAGGGCGGGGGAGCGCCACAGAGTTGGTTACGTTTCTGATGGTTCTGGAGGTCACCTAATCCTGTCTAAGGTCTTCAGAACACATTGTGTCAAGTTTAAATTGGGGTCTTGTCCCCGTGCTTCTGTTTTGCTCATAGGCACAGAAGGAAGTCACATGTTTTCACAGAGACTCGCGGCCCCCTGGGGGCGAGTAAGAGGCAACTCCAACAGGGTGGCGAGCACCCCATCAGGCAGCAGTGGGGGTGAACAGTACCCCTCGCGCGAGCAGGCCATATGCCCAGCTGCCTCCGAAGATGCTTAGAAAGCACTGTATAGGCATGGGCCAAAACAGGAACTCTTACAGGTGAAAGAGAAGCCAAGCAGCTTCTAGTCCAGGATCCTCAACTGCGCGCACAACGGTTTCTGGGGCTCTCTGAGAATCCCCAGTGGATGTGTGTGTATCAGAGAGGTTAAAAAAAGTTGAGAAACACGAATCTTGCTCATCACCTCCATTATTTTACAGAAAAAGAAATCAAGGCCCAGAGAGGGAAAGCGATTTTTCCCTCAAAGCTAATATGTGTAAGGAATAAGCTTGGAACCAACGTGTCCTAAAGCCCCGCCCCCGGTCACCTCCCACCCACCACACGACCCCTTTGTTCTCATTGTCATCGCAGCTCTCCTTGGATCTGCATGTGGTTGTCATTTCCCCCAAGCTCTTTCCCTTTTATTATCCTGTTTTGTCCTTACCAACACTCCTGGCAGATAGGAAGGGCAGGTAATAATAAATGCCACATTTCACAGACAGGAAGATAAAGTCCAGAAAGATGATAAAGAGCTGCTTAAATTTAGAGATGAATAAGGATCCTCAAACATCAAACATTAGAAGGCTAGGTATCCAGGGGAGGGACCAGCCCAGTCTGCATTTTCCTATCGGACAGAACTAAAGTCACTGAGTAAATTCCCAGCAGCACTGCTCAGGAGTGACGTGGGCTTCGAAGTGCAGAGCCCGGATCCTTCTCTTGTCAGCTGGTGACCAGCCGAAGACATTTAATCCCTCTGAGCATCAGCCTCCTCAACAGTACGAGGGGTGATAAGCAATAATTTGACATCTCTTGAGCCAAAAGCACATGCTCAATAAATAGAAGGTATTATGAGGTCCCCGAAGGGGGTTTCAGTTGAACATAAGAAAGAACTTTCCATCAAAGAGAGCAGTCTGTAAGTAAAATGCGCTGCCTTGCAAAGGAATGAGCTTGTTGTCACTGGAGGCCTTCAAGAAGAAACTGAAAAACCAGCAGTCAGAAATAGCATGCAGTAAGAAATTGGACATTTAGAAAATTCCATACCTCTCATAATGCCAAGATTCTATGGTGTGTTCTGGATAAGCTGAGTGCTCTGACCCCTCTCTCCTCTTCAGACATGCTCTCTCTGCCTGGGAGCCTGTTCCCTCTGTCCAGAAGGCTCTTCTTTGCCTTCCCCTCCTTCAGTCTCAGCCAAATCTCCCTTTCATAGCATTCCCTTATCCACCTCCTTCCCCCATTTGTTGACTCCATTGCCAGCTACAGTTTGATGACTCACACAAGGGCCGAGGCAAGGGTGCAAGTCTCAGACTCCCAGACTAAGCCTCTTTTCAGCAGGCTTGGCCAGCGGTTGAAGACTGAAGTCCATAAGTAACTCCCAGAACATAGCCAACTACGTTGCAAAACAGTGAGAGACTCAGGCAGCTGCTCTATCATTCAGAGAACAAGACTCTCTAGCATGTGGGTTCCAGTTTACTACCATATATTAAGTTCTGGACATGTGCTCAGTACGGTGCCACTGCCATGGGTTCAAAGATAAAAACAAGTCACAATGCTCATCCTCAAGGAGCCCAGTCTAGTGGGTAAGACCAACAATCTTTCTGTAAGTTGGAGAAATGTATAGCCTATCCTGGATTCTTGAGAAGGGGTGTCTGGACTAAAACTGAGGTCCAGGGAGAGCTTCTTGGAGGAGTTGATACCCAAATACTCCAGTGTCTCACATTCCTTATGATCAAGAAGGTTATCGCTATATTATATCTTGCTGGGTCAGTGGATATATTCCTGGGGCAAAGCTCCAGTGATGAGCATTCATTGCACCTTGATTTATCTTCCAGAACTTCTGCAGAGGTACACGATGCCTTCATGACGTACACAGTGTATGATGACATCATCACCATTAAGCTCATCCAGGAGGCGTGCAACATTCTGGGTAAGTATGAAAGAACTTGTTTTGCTTTCTCAGAGCTGCCCTAACAAAATCCAGTTGATTCTCATTATTTGCAGTGGTTACAGTCTGTAAAGCTGCTGCAATACTGAATTAGTGAATACTGAACCACTACTCCCAGGGGAAATACAGGGTTCATTTCCTGAAAGTGTCTGGTCACAACATTTTTATTAACCTATCAATGCATAACTTTGTTTCATGTGTGCTTCTGTTAAAAACAATATATTTAATATACATAGTATGAGAACTAAGACAAGAACATAGAGCATAGCCTTGTTCTGGGTTGGCTAAAAGCATTCATGTTTCCTTCCTTTCTTCCGTCCGTCCTTCCTTCCTCCCTTCCTCCCTCCCTCCCTCCCTCCCTCCGTCCCTCCCTCCCTCCCTCCCTCCTTCCCTCCCTCTCTCCCTTCTGTATTTCCTGGGCTGCTACAACAAAGTACCAGCAACTAGGTGGCTTCAAACAACAAACATCTATTCTCTCCAAGTTCTGGAGATCACAAGTGTAAAGTCAAAGTGTTGGCCAGGTTCACTCCTCTGGAGGCTCTAGGGAGAAACTGTCTCTTGCTTCTCTCCCAGGCTAAGGGTTGCTGGCACCCCTTAGCCTGTAGACGCATCTCCCCAATCTCTGTCCTCATCTCCACACGGCCTTCTTCCCTGTGTGTTCATGTGACCTTCTCAGGACAGCAGCCATTGGGTTTAGGGTCCACCCTAATCCCGTATGACCTCACCTCATTTTAACTAGCTACATCTGCTCTCTTTTCAAATAAGGTCACGTTCTGAGGTTCTGGGTGGACATGAATTTGGGGACACACTCTTCAACCCAGTACACCCTCCCTTTCTTTATTCTTCCTTCTCACCAGCACTGAATACACAATGAGCCGGGGCGGGCCTGAGGGGAGGGAGGGGCAGGCAGCCTCCTCCGTCCCAGGTTCCAGGGAGCTGTGCAGGCAGCGGAAGCCCCTCCATACTTCCAAGATCTTTGATGAGGTCCCTCTTTCCATTCCCATTGAACTTCTTTCACCCGTTTCTCACGGGCTGTGCTGCCTTGGGTCACTGTGAGAGTGTGAGATGACCTTTGGGGATGATCTCAGGCAGACACTGCATCAACCCTCATTCCTGGCACCTGGCACCCGATACAGCCTTGTTGAAAGTGTCAGGCTAGGCCCAGTCCTGGGGGCGTTCAAGCCGGCTCTTACGCGGCCCGCAGAGGGTCAGGCAGCAGGGGCCGTGGTTTTGAGTTGGTTTCATGGTGCCTCTGAGGGCCTAGCAAATTGGCTTGCCATTCTCAGGAACAATTTGTGAAATGATAGTAGGTTCAAGTCAGTGGCAGGTACCACAGTAATCAGCCCAGTGGGCATGCCTGAGAAGACACCAGGGCAGCTAGGTAACGCTAAGCCTGCAGGGACAGGCGGCTTCTCCAGAGCGCCGCAATGATGTGTCAAGTGCCTGTGTCATGTGAGGCACTCACCTTATTTCCCTTTTCTTTGAATTTCGGAAACATTCTCTGATGATTAAAAAGATAGGGACAGCTTTACTCACAGGCAACTGGATCTGACAGATGAGAGGGCTTTTCTATGGCTTTCATACGGCGAGATGACTGACATCTACATCTGTTCTCATGTTCCTGGTGATCTCCTGGATGCAGAACACCTTCCAGGGATCTGTATCCAGGAGAGGCCCAAAGTCTCTGCCCAGCTGGGAGGGGGAAGTCATTGAGGCTGCAGAAGCCAGATGTGTGTGGTGCTGAGTCCTGTCTGGTAACAGGTGGTTACCTGCTTCCCCCACCCACTCTGGGCCACCTGCTATCCTATCTCATCAGGATACCTCTCATCTGTACCTCTTGGAGCTACAGAGCCAAGCAGGGGCCAGCGCTGCCATTGAGGCCTGGCAGGCGATGGTGATCAGAGCCAGGAGGAATCTGGTGCCCTAACTAGTTGTTAAAACAACTTCCAACCAGATGTGTGTTAGCTCCTAGTCACTGCCCACTTGTACCTTTTGATAGAACCAATGTTGCGTCTGAGGCTGGAAATCAGGCACGAGGAGTGAAACAGTCATTTGCTCCTTCAGCTCCTGGAACTCAGGCGCCAAAGCAGCAACATCTCCTGGATGCCTCCTAAAGCCGTTCCCAGCCTCCCTTCACGGCAGCAATTGGAGGCAGCTGGCAGACAGGGCTCACGTGGCCTCCCAAGAATTACAGCTGGGCCTCTCCCTGAATCCACCCACCAACTCCACTCTCCAAAGAAGCTTACACAGAGAGATTCTAGGCCAAAGCTGGCCGAGGAACTGGGGAGTGTCAGCAATATCTGCAAGCCTCACCCCTATCCTGTCTATCCTGTTTTGGGGGCCCTTTCAGGCCCCTTTGTCTCTCCAGCAGCTAGCACCAGGGGAGGTTTCTACGGGGTTGGGTTATCAAAAAGCATACAGCATCGGGCTTTCTGCGCTCGAGTCTGAGCGCAAAGTGTGTGCTCTTTACAGCACTGGGCTGCTCCCAGGGGCTGCAGGCCTGGAGAATGGGTTCTAGACTCAGCTGTGCTATCCAGCTATGGCCTTCTGTGGCAGCAGCACAGCCACCCCAGGGTGACACCTCTCAGCCTTCTTGCTTGACACTCCTGCCAAAGAGATTACCTGTTTTATTTTCTTAAGTATCACTTTAGTTTTTTTAAAATACGTGATGACGATGCTAAATGTGCTTTTTCAAATCAGGCAGACAGATCCTGTCTTGATCCTAATATGTACCACCCCACAAAGGCAAAGCCCAGGTGCTGCCCTTGCGGCTGACAATTCTGCACATCTGTGATCTCAGTGAGGTCTGGAGGTCCACAAGAAAGTCCAATGGTTTGCAATTGCCTCCTTTCTTCCAGCTAAGTAACAGGAGCATCTAGTTCCCTTCCCTCCACCGAAAGAGTACAAATCCTTAGGTGGAAACTCTGTAATGAGAGGTGACTACTTTACAGCTGAAAAGCCGGAGTTTTGACAGAGCCTAGGAAATGAAAGAGCCAAAAAGCTGAGAATGGGGAGTGCAATTAAGCCCACCTTTAGTCTTTTCTTGGTTTTATTCCAAGGGATCCCAGCAGCAGAAGGACGCTGTGGCTATATCGTGCAGTCTTGATGTGACCTGAGTCCTCTGCCAAAGAGCATCTTATAGTTATTCCAGAATGAGAATGGAGGGTGGATTCTTTTCTGTCACACCAGCTGTGTGACCTTGGGCTAGAATGTCATTGAGAGTTGATCTCCTGCAAAAGGAGTAATACCTTACAGGGTTGTGGGAAGGAATTAATTAAATCAAATAACAAATGGAAGACATTAAGCAACATGCATGGCACATACTGGGACTTCAGTAGATGTCAGCTGAATGTTGAATCTGAAGGAAGGGGGGCGGTATTTCTATGTTTTATACCTCTGGATACTGTTCCTTATCAGAAGAGATAGGTTTTGCTGTTCACTTCAATGGCTGTGGTAAAAAATTATTTTCTACATGGACACAGGGAGGGGAACAACATACACTGGGCCTGTTGTGGGGGACAGGGGGAGGGAGAGTATTAGGAAAATTAGCTAATTGCATGCTGGGCTTAATACCTAGGGGATGGGTTGATCTGTGCAGCAAACCATCATGGCACAAGTTTACCTATGCAACAAACCTGCACATCCTGCACATATACCCCGGAACTTTAAAATAAAATAAAATAAATTATGGGCCAGGCGTGGTGGCTTGTGCCTGTAATCCCAACACTTTGGAAGACCGAGGTGGGTGGATCACCTGAGGTCAAGAGTTCAAGACCAGCCTCAGCAACATGATGAAACCCTGTCTCTACTAAAATTGCAAAAAAGAATTAGCTGGGTGTGGTGGAGAACCCCCTGCAGTCCCAGCTACTCAGGAGGCTAAGGCAGGAGAATAGCTTGAACCTGGGAGGCAGAGGCTGCAGTGAGCCAAGATCGTGCCATAGCACTTAAGCCTGGGTGGCAGAGTGAGACACTGTCTCAAAAAAAATCTATATCTATATCTATATCTATATCTATATCTATATCTATATCTATATCATGTTCTGAGCTTTCTGATGAGCGGCCAACAAATTACATACAGCCCATGGGCCAGATCTGGGCCCTTGCCTGTTTGTGTAAACCGAGTTTTATTGGAACACAGCCATGCCCCTTTGTTTACACATCATCTGCAGCTGCTTTCGAGCTGCAGTGGCAGGGCTAAGTAGCTGCAACAGAGACCACATGACTAGCAAAGCTGAAAACATTCACTGGTTACTATCTACCCTTTACAGGAAAAGTTCATCATTTCATGCTCTCAAGGATTGCTGCAGATCTCTTTCAAGAGTCTAAAAATATCTTTTAACCTAAGAACTGTTATGGGCTGAATTATGCCCCCATGCCCCAAATTCGTATTTGGAAATGGGGCCTTTTGGAATTAATTAGGTTTAGATGAACTCACGAGGGTGGGGCCCTCATCACAGGATTAGAGCTCTTATAGGAGAGATATCAGAGTGCTGATATCTTTCCCTGTCACCTGTCACTATCACTCTCTCTTTCCCTGTCACACGAGGACCTGGTGAGAAGGTGGCTTTCTATAAGCCAAGTAACCATGTTATCACCTTGATCTCAGACGTCTGACCTCCAGAGCTCTGAGAAAATAAATATCTGCTGTTTAAGCCACCCCATCTATGGTATTTTGTCATCATGACCCCAGTGGATGAATATAAGAACTTGAATCAGCTTGTATATCTCCCAAAAGAAATGCTGTGTATGTATCATATCACCCCAGTCCATTTTTGTGGCTGTCAGTGGGCATCAAACCATGTGGCAGTGCCTTCAGCAGTGAGATGCCATCATATACCTGCCTGGCTGCCATCACATTTCCAACCCAACCAACATGTGTAGAGACAGCAGCCAATCTATAGACCAAGATATGGGTTGGCCCATATCACCTTCCCACCAAAAGCCAATGTACGTCACTGTGGTTTCTCTGTACCTAGCTTTGA